GGCTTGCTCTACACAATCGTATGGCTTGTATGGCTTATCAGTTATAAAATCACTTCTTGTGCTTTCTTATCTGTGAATAAATATATATATATATATATATAAATGTATACATACATAGATATGTTTTTCAGCTCTGTCCATGGACAGGCCCTGGGAGCAGCAATACCTCAATAGCAATGAGTACAGATTGTGGCTTCTAAATACCATTTTCCACTAAAAGAACCAGGACCCCTTGGTGAAACAACTGATTCTAGGATAAGGGTAAGAGAACTAAACAACTTTTTTTTTTAATATACTTTTGAGGCACACAGCAGGATATTTTGATACACATATACATAGTGAAGTAATTACTATAGTCAAGCAAATTAACAAATTTATTATCTCATGTAGTTTTCTTTTTTCTTTTTTTTTTTGGTGTTAAGAGTACTCTCCTGGCAAAGTACCAGTATACAATACAATATTAACTACAGTCCTCATGTTATCCACTAGAATTTAACTGTAACTTTGTACCTTTTGACCTACATCTTCCCATTTTCCCTACCCCCACCCCTGGTAACCATCTTCCTACTCTGTTTCTATGGTGATTTTTTTTTAAAGATTCTACATACAACTGAGATCATTTGGTATTTTTCTTCCTGTGTGTGGTTTATTTCATTGAGCATGATGTCCTCCAGGTCCATTCATGCTGAACGCTACAAGATAAACATGGAACACCTTATGTGCCTGAAAGTAAAGAATTCCTCAAAAAATGATATGGACATGTCAGAAGGATAAAGGAGCCACCAGTAAAAGGCTCCCATTGGCTGTTCAACAGGCCCACAATCTCCAGCAACTTCTCTGCCTCATCAGTGGGTGGGCTGCATGTTCCTGTGGTGGGAACCACACCCTCCCTTCAGATATCTGAATCTCTAATCTTGCAGTTGGGTTAGGGAGCATTTCCTTTAAGTAACTCCTTTGTTAACACTTCTTCAGCCCTAGAAGTAACGGCTCCTTTTTGTAGCTGCTACTTCTGTGTAAGAGAATCCTCTTTTAGTAACTGATCATCTTTTACTAGAAAACAATTATTTAAATTTTTCCTGTTGAAATCACCAATATGGTATCTGTTTCCAAATGAACCCTGACTGATAGAAAAATGTATCACTTCTCTTGCATTTCTATCCAAAAAAATGCTTACTTAAATATAATCGTGAGGAAATCATAGCGGCAGGAGGGAGACAAATGCCTAGGCAGACAAGGGTAGGTCCACAGTGAAACCCCATCTCTAAGCTGAAGACAGTTTAAAGCCTGAAAGCCAAGCTACAAGTCAAATCCAAGGACCGGATTAAGAATCTCTCTTCCTAATTGACACATTTTTCTCTGATCGATCCCCACTTTTCACCTATTTTACATATACCTTCCCTTTCCTAATTGGTTTTCTCCACTGTTGTGCCCACCTTTCAGTGGTGTCTTCATTTTAACTTTTTTTGCATACTCACAAACCAGTCAGCACAAACTTCTCATTCTGAACCCATGAAAGCCCAGACCCAGCCACACTGGGTAAGAAACCACCTGACTGCAGGGGTAGGGGACAACCTCTACCCAGGCATCCCCTCTCCACTGAAGAGCTGTTCCATCACTCAGTAAAATTCTTCTTCATCTTCATCCTTCAAATTGTGAGCATATCCTCATTCTTCCTGTATGCAAGACAAGAGTTCAGGAACCACAGAACACGCAGGTACAAACTAAACCCAGGCAGCGGGCTGAGTGAGGCCTGGGGGCAGGGAGGGTCACTAGCCATGGAGGGGTCCCCAGTTGGCAAAGTGACCGAGAAAAATCCTACATCAGAAAATATTAGACAAAACCAAAATGAAAGACATCCTACAAAACAGTGGCCAGTACCTATCAAAATTTCAAAGTAAAGTAAGATCAATGACAATTAATTATAATGTGTGATTCTGGCTTGGTTCCTATGATTGTTGGGAAATGGGAAGTAATTATACAGAGCATCTATTGAAACACATGATAAAATTTTGAATACAGACCATGGATCTGATAATAATATTGTATTAACATTGTAGTTCCTAATTTTGATAAGAGGATATCCTTGTTTCTAGGAAATACATACTGACATATTTAGAATGGTAATGGGAAGTTTACTCTCAACCTGTCCAAAATTAACTAATGTATATGGAAAGGAAAGAGATGAATTTTTTTAAGTAGAGTGTGTACCAGACTTCTTTGTGCTATCCTTGCATCTTTCCTATAAATGATAAATTACATTAAAATTGAAAGTTATCAAAAACTATATTAAGTCCTTGAAATATGGTAAACATGATCATTTTGAAAAGCATCTGATCCAGGCCTAGTGGCTCATACCTGTAATCCCAGCACTTCAGAAGGCTGAGGCAAGCAGATTATTTGAGTTTAGAAGTTTGAGAGCATCCTGGGAAAAATGTGAGACCCTGTCTCTACAAAAAATACAAAAGTTAGCTGAGCATGGTGGCTTGCGCCTATGGCCCAGCTATTCAGGAATCTGAGGTTCTGGGTCTGTTAGTTACCTTCCTCTCTTAGGATTATACTGAACAGGAGGCATCCTTCCCATTTGATTTCAGGACAACAATCCTAGGGCTGCTTTCTAAACAAAGTGAACAATTTACCTTGTGTGAGAGAAGGGAATGTGGGTATAGGTTTATTGTGGGGATTGTGCTAGAAAATGAGGCTAGAAAAGAGGCAGGCCAGTAATGCAAGTAACAACAGCAACCAAACCCCTGCTCATTGCGATTTTTGCCCCAGCAAGAACCTCGAACTCAGTTCTCAGAGGTGAGATTTTTAACACAGAGAGCACCCAGAAGGGGCACTGAGGTCTGAGAAGCAAGGAAGTGACCCAGGTTGTTTGCCTCTGGTTGGAAAGGGAAACCCACCCTACTTCCACTCTGACAGCAAACAAGTTAGTCAACCTATTCAATTGCATTTCTGGCCCATTCCCCATTTCCAACATAAAACACTTCCTCCTTTCTAGCCAAATGCTACTCTAGGCAGTAACCAAGAGGCAAGATTTCTTAAATCAAAAGTTGAATTCACCAACAAACGAACATCAATTCTAGAATAGATTGTAACAGGGATTTTTGTCTTTCTTCTCTGTTGTATCCCCAAGACCTATATTATATATTATGTGGTTTGGGCACATAGTAATTGCTTGGTAAAGCTGTGTTGAATTACTTGATAAAAGCAAGTCAGTAGAAATAAATGTTCAACATTGGTGGCATTGGTTAAATAGCAATGCATAGAACTAAATATTATGTTATTAAAAAGTTTATTTGTAAAGTTAAGGAGATGGAAAAATATTTGACATAAACCTATTTTTGAGATAGGTGCTCACTCTGTCACCCAGGCTGCAGGGCAGTGGCACAATCATAGCTCACTGCAGCCTCCAACTGCAGCAATCTTCCAGCCTCAGGCTCCCAAGCAGCTGGGGCTACAGGTATGCGCCATCATGCCCAGCTAATTTTTTTTTTTTTTTTTTTTTGAGAGAAGGGGTCTTACTACATTACCCAGGCTAGTCTTGAATTCCTGGCTTCAAGTGATCCTCCTGCCTCGGAATCCCAAAGTGCTGGAATTATGGGCATAAGCCAGTGTGAGGCTGATACATGAAATTTTTGAAAAAAGGAAACAACATATATTCATTAAGGAAATACACACCCTCCTGGTGAGTTTATGTATGATTTTTGTTTTGTTGTTTTCTGGGTTACCTGATCACAAATTACTTTTATTTTCAGAAAGAAAATAATCTTTCAATTTTATTTTTTGATTGAGGCAACATCCAACCTAGATATGATTACTACCCAGCCTGAACTGAATGTATTACTAATAAAGAAACGCAGAAGGGCATACAGTAGGTACAGCGTAGTGCTCCATATTTAAATACTTGCTCCATAACTTATTAGCTGTGGGACCCACGGTGTTACTCAGCTTCTATCTGCTTTAATTTACTCATCTGTAAATTTGGGAAAAGCTACTTCTCATAAGGTTGGTGTGAAGATCAAGTGAATTAATTATCGCTTAAAGCATTTATAAAAGTGTGGGGCACCACTGAGGGATGCATCCGTTAGCTTTTGTTATTATTAGACTCAAAACACTGTAGTAGCTCCAATAAGAGAGGTAAGAATCAAAATCCACTCATCCGTACACAGCCAGTGAGGCACACATAAAAGCAACGTTAAGAGAGGAAGTGGAATGAAAACATGCTAAAGCTGGGTAGGTACAAGCCACAAGTGGGGGTCCACAGTTAATTCTGAAGAGAGTGAATCCAGGAAGTTACAGGAGCAATAATTTTTGAACAGTGTTTAAGAACGAGCAGGACTTCAGCAGGTGGCCAATAAGACACAAGGAACCCGCCAAGGATCTTAGCAGAGGCACAAAGACTACCATCGGGTTGCTCGTTTCTACCTACCTGGCAAAAGAAACCTCTGACGAACAGAGGTGGTTGCAGAGCATGCTTATCAAACAAAACGCCAGTAAGGAACGACAGAGGTAACAGTAACAGTCATAATTCACCCCAAGGTACTCAACTGGGAAAAGGAAGTACAGAGGAGGGGTGTCGTTAAGAAAGTCAGGACATAAGCTGGGCGCGGGGGGCTCAGGGCTGTAATCCCAGCACTTTGGGAGCCTGAGGCGGGCGGAGTGCCTGACCTGAGGAGTTCAAGACCAGCCTGGGCAACACGGTGAAACCCCGTCTGTATTAAAATACAACAAAATTAGCTGGGCGTGGTGGCGGACGCCTGTGGTCCCAGCTACTCCGGCGGCTGAGGCAGGAGAATTGCTTGAACCCGGAAGGCAGAGGTTGCAGTGAGCTGAGATCGCGCCACTGCACTCCAGCCTGTGCGACAGAGTAAGACGACTCCTCAGAGAAAAAAAAAAAGACAAAGAAAAAGAAAGCCAGGACGCACATGGCCCCGTCGCTGCACTACTCTAGTCTAGGGGCCAGCAGTGGAGTAGAGACTCGAAGCTTGCACGCGGCGGAACAGCGTCCCTCTCAGGCGGCGAACGGTGTAGGAAAGGGTACGGAGGAGACCTAGCGCGAGAACTACAACTCCCGCCGAGCCCGAGGGCGAGCTGTGCGTCACTTCCGCTTCCGCCGCCCCTCGCACCCTCGTCTCTCGGACCCCAACCGAGGAGCGGTCCGGCGCGTGACCCCGCGTGACCAGGGCGCGCGAGCCGAGAGGCCCTGGAGGCGGAACTTTGGGACCCCCATTGGGAGAAAGACGAGCAGAAAAGGCGAAACGAGACAACCTCGATAGTGATTGGAACTAATGAAACGAGGGCGGAGCTAAACCTACAGATCACTGGCCAATCAGAGTTTACGATTATCAGGGAGACCGGGAAGGGGAAAGGGGCGAAGTGGTTCTGTGGTCACATGGTGCAGGGTTTGGTGGGAGGAGCGGCTGCCCAGCGGCCTCTTGGCGCTTCCTGTTTCCGGTTCCCAGAGTGGGGCACAACGAGGCGCTAGGGGCGACGCTGGCCTCTGACACTAGCTCCGGGACCGGGGTCTGCGGCCGGCTTCTAGCAGGCCCCGTCTCCCATCCCCAAACGCATATTCACTGGGGATTGTGAGCCTTGGCTGCTCCAGTTTCCCGCGACACGTGAGTGTGAGGGGCGTGGAGGAGGCGGGCTGGGGTGCGCTCACACCTCAGCGTCTGTGACAGGAGCCGGGATTGCAAAGTCTCCCTTGACCATGGTTCTAGCCAAGAATCTGGCCGAGGAGCCCTAACGGTAGAATGGAGGCGGAGGCGTGAGGGTTGAGAGTCACGGAGTTCCGAAAGGTTTGAGAAAGGACTTCCAAGACCACAGAGGGGGTTTACGATATTTGGAAAGTAAGATTCCCCAAGTGTGGAGTCCGTTGGAGGTGTTCGTGGATTTATTTATGGAAGGAATTTTAGCCTGCATCACGGTGGGAGGTCAAGTGGCATCATTTGGAGAAGATAACGGTTCCAAGCAGTTGGAAAGTCGGGACACTAGACGGAGCGAGAATTTCTAGCACCCTGGGAGAGGTTTGAGGGGATGCGACTATGGTGTGGCTAAGAATGGCTGATGGAGGGATTATCGTGTGTTCTCCCTTGTGGGGAGCTTCCGCTCTTGGGACATAGCCGCTACTTCTCAGAGGCTTCTTCTCTCTTGAGTTCTTTCAGCATTAGGCTTTTTAGCCAGTTGAGGCTGCTTTTCTAAAAGTGTAGGCTGCTGGAGGAAGAGGGATAAAGTCTACATCAGAAAGGAGCCCGCGGGAAGACGGTAGAAATTCCACTGGAAAATGGCCATGGCGGTCTTAACAGATGGGGAAGTGAGTACTACAGAGGCCCAGTGGCGTAAGCTGCTTCCCAGTTGCTGGCTTTGTCATTGGCCACCCTATTAAAGGAGAATTTTTAGCGTTGCCAAGTAAAAGATGTGTTGTTAGAGAATAAGAAAATTGAAAGAGATTTTTCAATATCATAAAATCCTGCTTGTTTCCAACGTATCTAGACAAACTCTTGTACCTTGAGAATCTAATTGTAGCATATTAAAAAGGGGCCACCCATCCCTTGCATTTCAGTATTTTTTTGATTGCTGCACCCCTGTATTTAAAGTTTTCCAGCAGATAGCTTTATGCCACGAATCATCTAAATTGCCCCAGTAACTTCACACACATTTAATATCTCTGTAATGTACAGCAAGTAATTTAACAAGTAATTCTGTAAAGCATCTGTTTTCTCGTCTTTGAAGTATGAAAAAGTATACCTATTTTTCTGGTTCGTGAAGATTAATGAATATAATCTAGGTAAAACATTTAGCACTTATGCCATTGAATCAAAGAGAAGCAGCTTAAATTTATAGCTAACCCTTAAGCAGGAAAGAAGAATAGAGTATGAATTTGTTATCATCCTAACTTTGTGAATAATAAGCAAATGAAAGATAGTTCAACTCAACTAATGAGGTGTTTAACCTTTCATTCTTCCCAATTTTGTGAGATTCTTTGTTCTAATTTAGGAAAAGAAATCATCAACTGTCAGTTTTTAATTACGTCCTGAGAGAATGTAAGGAAAATGGCAGGCTAAGTCAGTCTAGAAGAAGGAGTGAATTTCTTTTTAGTGAATCAGCTGGTCAAGTTGTGTGTTGAGCAGTGGGTTAACCTAGGGAAGGTGGAGTTTGAGGTCTGAGTTCTTTATTTCACCACATTCAGTCAGCTGTGTGAGGAATCACTTCCCCTTCACTTCTTAGTCGGCAGGGGGAATAAAAAGAACCCACAGTTTTGCCTGCCTACTGTCATCTCCAGAAACTTATTATTTTCAGAGTGGAAATACACATATAGTGGTTAAACATAGACCATGAGTTTTGGAGCCAGACTCTCTGACTCACTCCACTAGCTGTGTCTCAGTTTTATTATTGGTAGAATACCAACAATAATTGTATTTACTTATAGGGTTGTTGTGAGGATTAATTAGTTAATTATTATATGTTAAGTGCTTGGAACAGCACCTGGCCCAAGGCAGTAGTCTATTGTTTCCTGCTGTTGTGGTTTCAGTGCTTTAAATGTGTTATGAGGGCCTTGGACCTCTTGGCTAGATATGATTATTCTGTGGAAAATACCATAATATTACAGTAGAGAATTGATGTTTGGAGTACAAGAAGTCAAGTAGACAATTGCCCAGCATTTGTTGCCCTAGTGAGTGTGGGAAATAGAAGGTCAGATGTTAGTTTGTTTAGGGGAATGGGGTAAGTGCATTCAGGGTCAGGGTCGGAGCTTCCATATCCCATCTTTAAACTCACTGATACTCATGAAAATTCTACCTACTTCAAGTTTTATGTTTTAAAAATGCGGTGGAGTCAGTGGATCAGCATGAGAAAGAACTAGAGGACTTTAAAAGAGTATTTAAACCAGCCAGGCATGGTGGCTCACACCTGTAATTCCAGCACTCTGGGAGACCAATGTGGGTGGATTACAAGGTCAGGAGTTCAAGACCAGCCTGGCCAATATGGTGAAACCACGTCTCTACTAAAAATATAAAATATTAATTTATTAACATAAAAAATTAATTAAAACATAAATTAATATAAAATATAAATTAGCCTGGTTTGGTGGCATGCACCTGTAGTCCCAGCTACTCGGGGGGCTGAGAATTGCTTGAACCCAGGAGGCGGAGGTTGCAGTGAGCCGAGATCACACCACAACACTCCAGCCTGGGTGACAGAGCAAGACTCCGTTTCAAAAAAAAGAGAGTATTCAAACCAAAGTCCAGACTTGCAGCATTTTATTGTAAGTAAGAAAAGTTTAGAAAAGTTAAATCAGGAAATTTTTTGTGAGACTGTTGGAATAAACAAGTAGCAATGGCCTGACAGATCATTAACAGATACCAAAGTGAACTGTTTTGCAAGGGTAAATCAGTCCTGGGTATGAAAGTGGTAAGAGAAAAGAAAATATTAGTGGTTTTTTTGTTTTGTTTTGTTTTATTGCCAAAACCCAAAAACCTTTGCACCAACCTAGTAAGTTTGGGATAGAGAGCTGTGTGTTTTTATTTCTAGAGCAGTGTAAGCAGCAGGTGAATTGAATTTACAAAATTGTAAAGTGGCTTGGTGATTCCCACTTTGTTGTCACTGATTTGCAGTGTAGAAAGACAACTGTACTTATTGCAAGTCTAGAAACCCTTGAGATTTGTGACCTGTAAAGGCCGAAGAGGTTTCAGAAGACTTCATCAAGCCATCAAACAGTAAAGTGGCAAAGATGGCTCCATCTAAGCTGTCATCCTTCTTTTTTGTTCTTTCCTCATTACCCTCTTTTCAACCTTGTAGTTTGTTCTGAAAGACTCACCTATACATTCGACTAAAAGTTACATATAAATGAGTTTTCTGCTGCAGGTGCTCTTGTTACAGAGATATTAAAATGTACTGTGTTGCATATGCCAGAGAATCTTGTACTTTCTGCATAATCAAAGTGCCATCCATTTATTAACATTCATATGCTTCATCTCTTTCCCCTCTCCTGATCCTACCCGCCCTCCCCAACACACACTCTCTCCCAAAAGGATGTTCCCCTTCTACAGCTCCTGGAGAACTAGACTGCTACTGCTGCTACTCCTGGCTGTGGCAGTGAGAGAATCTTGGCAGACAGAAGAAAAAACTTGCGACTTGGTAGGAGAAAAGGGCAAAGAATCAGAGAAAGAGTTGGCTCTAGTGAAGAGGTTGAAACCACTGTTTAATAAAAGGTAAATGAGAAGAGCCTTAAAGAGCTTGAGAAAATTAAAGTGTCTTCCTCTTACTGATTTTATTTCATAACGTGCTCTATTTTATAATATAGAGTGAATTCACAGCCCAGTTTTTAGTTGCCATGTGCAGTTTTCTCATCTTTCACAGAAAAGTAGCTGCTTCCAAGACTGGATCCAAGAGACCAGCTTGTAGAAATTTAAGCATTATTTGGTATCTACATATAGGACTTTAGAAATAGGAGATAAACATATTTAGGTCTACACATGTCATTATAAGTGTGAGGAATCTTCAGATACATAAATCTGAAGTTGGTCACTAAGAAATGAGAGTATCCCATGAACATGGACCTTTATTCATGGGCACGTGGTTACTAATAGGCATTCTAAAAATAACTAGAATATCGAGCTGTCTTGGGTGGTGCATTTTAATAATTCATCATTAGCAATAATCTGTCAAGGTTATGAATATCTTACAATTAAACAAATATTCACTCAGCCATGACCTCAGATAAGTAAATCGAGCACATTGTTACATTTTGTTTTAATTAAAGGAAAGGGATGCCGTTATTCCTAACTGTCCTCTTTCTTCCCACTTTTCTTTACAGCTTTGAGAGCACTGTGGGCCAGGGCTCAGAAACATACATCTACATATTCAGGGTGTGCCGGGAAGCTGGCAACCACACTTCTGGGGCAGGCCTCGTGCAAATCAACAAAAGTAATGGGAAGGAGACAGTGGTAGGGAGGCTCAATGAGACTCACATCTTCAATGGAAGTAAGAAAACTCCCCTTCTTACCATTGATTGACTGACTGATCCCAAGTCAATCCCTCTGACAATCTTATATGTCTTGGCCCTTTCCAGGCTCTTCAGTATATCATGTGCGGTTTGACACACCTGAGACTATAAAATGCCACAGGATGCCTAATTCCACAGCTCCTCTGTAGCCACAGCTCAGGACATTTGTGCATTAAAGTGAAAAATTTATGCAAAAAGAAGACTCCAGCCAGAATTCTATAGCCTGGAGTCCTTTTATTCACCCAAATACTTTTTTTTTTTTTTTTTGAGACGGAGTTTCGCTCTTGTTACCCAGGCTGGAGTGCAATGGCCTGATCTCGGCTCACCGCAACCTCCGCCTCCTGGGTTCAGGCAATTCTCCTGCCTCAGCCTCCTGAGTAGCTGGGATTACAGGCACGTGCCACCATGCCCAGCTAATTTTTTTTGTATTTTTAGTAGAGACGGGGTTTCACCATGTTGACCGGGATGGTCTCGATCTCTTGACCTCGTGATCCACCCGCCTCAGCCTCCCAAAGTGCTGGGATTACAGGCTTGAGCCACCGCGCCCGGCCCAAATACTTTTAATGAGTTTCACACTAGACTTAAAAATATCAACCACCACCATTTTTCATCAAATTAATCAAAGTTTACCAGTTAAATTTTAAGAGGTCAAACTTTTTTTGCAAACTAGTCAGTCTACAAAACTTTACCCACTGACTTTTGTGCTATGGTGGTGATATTTCTTAAAAGTCATATTGCTGGAGGGGACTAAGTAAACACCTATGGCCCAGTTCCCTCCCATACAGATAAATAACTAAATTATACAGGGTAGCTATTTACTCCTGATAAATAATACAATTAAAAAATAACAAAAGGATTTGGGGGTCATGTGACCAGGTTCTCCTCCTATTTCCTAATCCTGTGACTAAAAAGTCATATCACCTTTTGACCTTTTCTCATGGGCAAAACTAGGAGCGGAATCTTCACTTTATTCTCCTCACAATTATTGAATCAAATGATATTTTGCAAAAGAACTTTGAAATGCTAAAGATAAATGCATTCCAGTCTTAAATATTAACCATTTTGAATTTTTCTGGGGCTAAGTTGAAATCTTAGATGGGCTTACCTCTTGTGCTTAGCAATTGTATGAAACCTCTTTTTTTGCTTTTAGCAGGTATTCAGAAAATGAATCAGTGTTAAGGTATAGATCATAATGGTTTTGCATTGTCAGTTGCCTACCTTTAGTGTTAAAAATTAAAATTATTCTTAAATGAGTATCTGATTCTTGTTGTCTTAAGGGAACACAAGGCTTTGTAAGGAAATAAGTTTTAGTTTGGCATTTCTGATATACCGAATTTGTACTGATGAGGGTTGTTTTATTTATAACCAATTGCAGTGAATTACTCAATACCACTCTGCCATACCACCCAGATCTGCCTCTGCTTTTCCCCCCACCCCATAGCCCCATTTTCCTTGTCCCTCCTCAGGTAATTGGATCATGCTGATCTATAAAGGGGGTGATGAATATGACAACCACTGTGGCAAGGAGCAGCGTCGTGCAGTGGTGATGATCTCCTGCAATCGACACACCCTAGCGGTGAGGCGCCCTGGGTTGTATGAGCCTAGGGAGGAGATGAGAAAGGAATGACCTGAGGTGGGGGAGAATATCCAGAGGGGACACGATCCATTGGGATGGACATGAGAAAACTAGGAGCTCAGTTTCTGTGTCAGACAAGCATCTTCCATGGAAAATAGGCTGCTGAACCAGGAAGAAGCAGATGTTTTTTGGGTTTTTTATTTTGTTGAATAGGAGTCAAAATATTTTACCACCTAAATGTTGTGCTATGCCATTTCATTATCAGGACAATTTTAACCCTGTGTCTGAGGAGCGAGGCAAAGTCCAAGATTGTTTCTACCTCTTTGAGATGGATAGCAGCCTGGCCTGTTCCCCAGAGATCTCCCACCTCAGCGTGGGTTCTATCTTACTTGTCACGTGAGTATGCCTTCCTTTATCAGAACAGACCTTCCTTTTGTTTTTAAGGTCAGTAATTATATGGTGATAAATGAGCACAACTTGTATGTGTATATGTTATGCTATAATTGACGGGGATGACTTTTAAATCCTCTGGCTATAAAATCATTCTGCAGTGGCTCACACCTGTTATCCCAACACTTTGGGAGGCCAAGGTGGGCAGATCACCTTAGGGCATGAGTTCAAGACCAGCCTAATGTGGTGAAACCCCATCTCTTCTAAAAATACAATATTAGCCAGGCATAGTGGCACATGCCTGTAATCCCAGCTACTTGGGAGGCTGAGGCAGTAGAATCACTTGAACCCAGGAGGTAGAGGTTGCAGTGAGCTGAGTTTGTGCCTTTGCACTCCAGCCTGGGCAACAAGAGCAAAACTCCATCTCAAAAAAAAATTCTGACTATGCAAGTTTCTTAAAAATGAGATTTAATGTTTAGTTTCCAGTATAGATTTGCATTTGGAGGTGCTTTTTTCCCCTACTGGAGGACTAGTCAATTTTTAATATTCATTAGATTATTAGAACTTTTAGAGAAATGTAATCATATACTTAATGGTGATTATTCTTGGCCATAGTCAGAATCCCACACTCACATTTTGTCTGAGCCTTTGCTTCCCTTGGACTAACGGCACTCTAATTGATTTTCTGAGTTACCAGCCTCCATTTTCATTTAATATTACTACTTATTTTTCCTTTTCAGGGAATGTAGTTTAGGAAACAGCTAACAATAAATATAGACGTTACCCTGAGTTTTACTGTTACTCAGTTCTTAAGTATAGATGTCTCTTTCTATACAGGTTTGCATCACTGGTTGCTGTTTATGTTGTTGGGGGGTTCCTATACCAGCGACTGGTGGTGGGAGCCAAAGGAATGGAGCAGTTTCCCCACTTAGCCTTCTGGCAGGATCTTGGCAACCTGGTGGCAGTAAGTAACAGGGCAGCTGGTGGAATTGGTAGCCTGCAAGCAAGCTTGGGTGACCAGCCATCCTGGTTTGCTCACACTGAGGGGGTTCCTGGGACAGAACATTGAGTGCTAAAACGACAAAAGTCCCAGCCAACAAGATAGTCAGTTGCTGTACTACAAAGTGGTAAGTAGCATAGCCTCTGTTTCTGGCCTCAAGACACTGCTGAAAGAACAACACAATGACCAGGTGGGCTCTTCTAAATCTGATTTAGCTTTTAAGTGGGCCTGGGTAGGAAGAAGGTGAGGCCTAATTAGAAGAAACTTTTTCTCCTGATGCCCCAAATTGAATTTAGGCCAATCATCAGATCTTTTAGGTTTTCTCATTATCCCTGTAGAAAACCAATTCTTGGCCGGGCGCGGTGGCTCAAGCCTGTAATCCCAGCACTTTGGGAGGCCGAGGCGGGTGGGTCACGAGGTCAAGAGATCGAGACCATCCTGGTCAACATGGTGAAACCCCGTCTCTACTAAAAATACAAAAAATTAGCTGGGCATGGTGGTGTGTGCCTGTAATCCCAGCTA